GTGCTTTTTGTTAATATTTTAATACATACTAGATATTTTAATCAAAATTTTATTTAGGTTGATAAATTACAATTTAATATATATTGTCCAAAACATCAGATTATGTTGCATAATATGAATATTAGTTTTTATAAATTCTTAAACTTTGTAAATTTTAACTTTTTAATACTATATTTTAAAATATGTTTTGCACATGGATCATATGCATAATGGCAAAATATAACCTGAAGTTAAAAATTTCAGTTTTTTGTTTTCTATGTACAAATAAGTTGTTTTTATCAATTTAACATTTCATCAGTAATTTGTTATCACATTAAATATAGCATTGTCCAGTGGCGTAAATAAGGGTATGCAAAGAATACCGTCGCCCTTACATGGCGGCACTCTAAATATGCGGCGAGCCAAAGTCCTCTCGTATGGTTTGGGAGAAGCGGAGTGGGACCCGTCCACCCGGGGTGCTCTCCATCAAAATTGGGGGTGGAACTGAGCAAAATCGCACTATCACCTGTAAGGTGCCTGTTGCCAACGACAGGCGTAAACTAGCGATCCTTGCCACGAGGTATTTCGTGGTTTTGGGCTGATGTTATGGCAACTGAGCATAAGTAACAACAATAGCGGGAGAGTTTACAAGTGATACCTGGGAACAGACTGTTTCTCGGTTTTATTGTGAGAACAAATTTTATTATTTAAAAATTTTTTCATCCTTAATTTTTTGAAGCCAGCATGTGACAAAGACGGCACTAGAATTCCCACTTTTAGGAAAGGATTTTATATTGTAGCCACATATCACATTTTCTCGTAAATACAAAAAGAGTGTGTTGGTTGAGGGTAAGAATTACTACTTTTCTTGCGCACTACACCAATTATTGTAGCTTAGCTGCGAGCAATTAATGGTTGCAGATCTGCACATTTTACACACACACAAAGCACAATTGTTGCACCGCTAACTATGCAGCCGCCATTAATATTCCCACTTGGGCCGCGACCTTTGAGAGGGAGAAGGCCATGACACTTAATAAACATGGCGGAGCTTTCCGTCCGATGTTATCGTCGGAAAGTCATCTGGATTTTTAAACTTTCGTCGGAAATATAACTTTATCATGTTGCTTAGTCAATTAAAATACTAGCTGAAAGAAAGGAGGCTTTATATACATACACACTTTTTAAGATTTTTTACAGATATTTTAATTAACTTTGTGCATAAATATAATTGAAAAAACCGAAAACAAACGAACATTTTACAAAAATTTAAACACTGATTGAAAATTGCTACTGTCATGATAAATTGGGAAGATAATAATTAATGTTTTATCTAGGCTCAAATATTAATTTATTCGCGTTTCAGAGCAAAATATATAACCACCAACTTCTATATCTCCAGCGTATGTAAATGAAATACTATATATAAATTAGCTAATAAATGTGATAAAAAGTAATTTAATACAAGAAAAACATACCTAAAATCTTATAACAAAAAAAAAAAGGCCTTCCAACATTCATATTTGAAATGAAATAACCTAAGACACAACATACACAACTGGCAATAAAAATAATGAAAGCATATAAATGATAATCGTAATTTCCATTACCCTAAAATTTAGAAGCTAAAATATGTATATACATCTGCATATGATTGAAGGAAATGGTGCTGAGAAACATCTGCATTACTACTAAATATTGTAATCCATAATTATTGCATTTTTAATCATATAATATTAAAAACATTAAATTTTATATTAAGTGCAAATTGCGGTTTTGTTATTTTTCTCTTGGAATTTGTAGTTTATCTCTTAGTATGAATACGAATGTTGCAAATTATGTTTTTTAATTATTACATCTGAATACATTCCATTTTAATTTTTAATTTTTTACATGCTTGTGATAGCAATAAAATTCAAGATAAATGGGGAAAAACTTTTTATTGTGTACTATTTAATGAAGAGCAGATTTAAATGTGCAGTTCTTACTATTATGTATATTATTCAAATAATTTCTGCGCAGTATCCAAGGCAAAGTACCCAAAGGAATGTTATTGATTTGAAAAAATGAATAAAATGGTCGTGAGAATCTGCCATTGTCTAAAACAAGTGCATATAAATATATTTACATATGATCGAAAGAAATGAAGATAAAAATCATCAGCATTGCTACTAATTATTATACTTTTAACAGGTTGCTATTTAAAAAACACTAAATGATTTTTTATTTTAATTCGAAATGGTAGTTTTGTTACTTTTTTCTGGTAACTTTCAAGCACTGCATAGTTTATGTGTTTTTTAAAATATTGCCACATACACTAAATATGTCTAATAACTAATATAATGTTGTTTGTTAGGTTATCTCATTTCAAATATGAATTTTGGAAGTCTTTTTTGTTATAAGATTTATGTATGTTTCTTGTGTGAAATATTTTTATCACATTTATTAGTAATTTATATAGTATTTCATTTACATACGTTGCAGATATAGAAGTTGGTGGTTATTTATTTTGCTCTGAAACGCGAATAAATTAATACTTGAACCTAGGTAAAATATTAATTATTATCTTAAGAAACCTTTCTCAATTTATCATGACAGTGGCAATTTTCAATCAGAGTTTAAATTTTTGTAAAATGTTCGTTTGTTCCTCGGTTCTTTCAATTATATTTATGCACAAAGTTAATTAAAATATCTGTAAAAAATCTTAAAAGTGTGTATGTATATAAAGCTTCCTTTCTTTCAGCTATTTTAATTAACTAAGAAACATGGTAAAGTTATATTTCGGACGAAAATTTAAAAATCCAGATGACTTTCCGACCATAACATCGGACGGAAATGTTTATTAAGTGTCATGGCCTTCTCCCTCTCGAAGGTCACGCTGGGGCTCCCGAATGGCGGATCTTTGAGCCTGGTATATAGAAGCCTTAGTACAACCTGCAGGAAGGTGCTGGGCTATCCTAAATACTGTCATTTGGAAGTAAGAATTTGGATTTTTCTGAAATCACAGAACTTGAATGAAAATAAATATTCACGGAGAATGCTTCCTCTGAAGCTCTGAGAATCAGGAGATGCATTGAATGAAATATAAATGTCATAAATTAAAAATTTTTCATTGTTTCCTTCATATAAGGGATTAGGTATTTTTGATTTGCTGAACAGATTTCAGTTTATTACATAGATATAGGTTTATGAGGCCCCATCACTGTGTTTTTGGCGTACTTAAGAAACTAGATCGTGTAATGTGACTTTTAGAACACAAAGATTTAACAAAGAAGGATTTACCTTAAACTATGTCGAAATAAGTAGAATTTTTGTATTTCAAGTAAACGTTTGTTGAAGGTTTTTGATTTTGTGTAATTTTTATAGCATCCGGAATGGATTAAAATCATTGACCGTGAATAACATTTTGCTTTTGTAAAATGGCAACAATCTAATCCGTCTGACTTGTTTTGAAATGGAAGTGTTTCGGAACGGTTTTTTGCTCTTGCGGATCACCGAGACAAGCGGCAGCACGATCGCTGCGCTCCGTAAAAAAGTGAAAATTTTTCCTTTCCTCTTGGTGATTATAAATTAAATTTCTTTGAAAAATGTTTATTTTTCCCCTACAAAACCTATATCATTCCAATGAATTTCGGCTCCGATGTTGACGAGAATAAAACAGCGGACAATGTAAGGATATACTCCAAAAGCCTGGAATTTTAAGATAAGTACTTTTTCTTTCATCTAAACTAAATCAAATTTCTATAAATAAGTGCCTTTAAATCAATAAATCTTAATTTTTCATCAGTTTAAAGCATTAAAAAATACTTGAAATTGCCATTGCTTGTGGCTTCCTTTGTGTATCAACTCGAAACAGACGCCAGCGTTATCAGTTCACGTCTGTCAACACTTACAAAGCCCTTAAGGAATCTCGAGAGAGGGAAAATTTGGGGATCAGAGGGATAATTTGGGCATCGCGCTATTTCCCTCTCGGATCTTCTGGATTCTCTTTCTTTCTAGATCGCTTGAATATAGTTTCGCCTTTAAATAATATTATACCTCACCGATTTTTTCTCATACTGTTCTTTGCTATCTGTTAAATGTCCATATGTAAGGGGTGGTTTATTCTTCACCGCCTTAAATGAATTTTTAGAACTATGAGCTTATATAAATAACAGTGTGCCTCATTGTGTTATATTAACATTATTTAACTAGTAATAAATTATGATAGTAAAATAATTAATCTTGTAATAAATTATGATAGTTAAATTAATAAATACTGTTTAATTTGTGTTTTTAATACATATACTCAGTAATTTACACACACACACACACACATATATATATATATATTATTTTATTTATTATTTATTATTTTGTGTGTGTGTGCGGTTGTGGTCTTGTATTGTATATGGTTCTATGTTGTTAGTCTGCTGCTGCTTTTTGAAAAATGTATGAAAATGTTGAGAATGAAAGTAGCATAAGTTACTTTGGTTAAATTAATATATACTTTTGTTTGATGACCTTTGTTGATATCTCAGGATGCAAGCGTACATATTACTTTATATTCCATGCTAAATACCTTGATACGAAGCATTTTAACACCGTCAATATTTGTTTTTTCCCCAGTAACACATCTATTCACCATTACCAAACACACTCACTACACAAACACACCTGTGAGACACTATTTATTGTAAATGAAGACAGTTTCTTCTCCTTTTAACTACACTCATGGACACAATCGTATTTAGGATATTTCTACTTCTTTTCCTTTTCTTTCTATAGGCCTTTTTTTTTTTTTTTCCCTCTCTATTGTTTTTGGGCCATTTATTTTAAGTTTTATTTTGTCCCATCTTTTCTTCCTGGCCTTTTGAACTCGTACAAGATGTACGAAGTTCCTTTTTACTCTCCTCAAATACGAAATTGCCACTCTTTCTATATACCTTTCCTTCGCACCTATGCTTGATTTTTCGCCCATCGGTGCAGAAAGACTTAGCGGGTGCAAAACAAGACATCTGTCTACTTTGTCTGTCTGTCTGTCTGTCTGTTTGTTTCGGAACGATGATTATAAAGTTTTTCGTGTTTAGTAAACAGTCTTTAAACGGTATTAGTCTAGTTTTACATTATATTCAACATGACTAAAGTAACAAAAAGTGAACCGCTACCTACTGTAGCACAAATTGATGCTGATACTGTTACCCAACTAGCAAATAAATACTGGGCACCGCATATTTTTAAACAGCGTGTGGAGTTTGATTCTTCGATTATTAATGATTTGTACACCGATGAAATACTTGGATCAGGTTTCGCCATCAGGAGGATTATGCTTCTTGAATTCAGTCAATATCTAGAAAACTATCTGTGGCCCAATTATAAGGATAATGCATCTCATGCTCATATGATGTCAATTGTTATAATGGTTAACGAAAAGTTTCGCGAACGTGTTTCAGCGTGGGAAGCTTTCAAGTCGAAACCTGAACATTTCCCTCAATTTTTTAAACAGGTTTTGCACAGTACTTTAGATGAAGAGATATCTCTTAGAGAAAGAACGTGTTTACTTGTTTTCTTAATTCATTGTTTTAACAGCTGTGAAGTTGAAATTATTAGAGATAATATTAAGAAATTAGTTTCATTAGGTATATGGACAAATATTCTTCCAGAACGAAGGGAACAAGAGTTTAAGAAGTGCACATTCTTAGTAAAATATTGGAATAAAATTAAAAAAAAGGACAAAACATTAAGTACTGATGAGTTAGAATGTTTGAATTTTGAAAGGAGTTTTTTGTTTAACTTGATAAAAAAATTCTTTGTAGTTTTAGGCGTTATACCTAATCAAGAAAAATCTCGTGAACTTGATAAAGAAATGTGGGAAAAAGTTCATTATTGTGAAAGGTTCATTGAACTTTTGATAGATCTTGAAGCATTGCCCTTAACAAGGCGTTTTTGTAATGTACTTTTGGATGACAGCCATGTTGTTGTAAGGTGCCAGTTATCTGAATTAACTAAAAGAGTTGAGGGACGTCTCTTCACTCAGTTATTAGAGATTTTAAAGTTTTATTCTAGATTTGAAGTAAATGAATTTACTGGAGAACCATTAAGTGATAATGATATGATGTTAATACATTATGCATTATTCACAAATGTTCAGAAAGCAGCATTTAAAAAGTTTCCTGATCTTAAACAGTTTTACCTTGCAAATGTAGCCGGTGTTGATACTAGGCAAAACCTTGAAAAAATTTTCTTGCCATTAGAGAATCGGACATTACATGAAATTGCTGCTTTTGTGAAGCTTTTACCTGGTGTACTTGATACACCTGATGTAGAAAAACCTTATGATCATCAGTTCCTTCTGGAATTGTTAATATCAAAGCTCGAAAAAAGGGATTCTCAGTTAGAAGCTTTAAATCAAATGCCACTATATCCAACAGAAAAAATTATATGGGATGAAAACATTGTGCCATCAGAATATTTTTCTGGTGAAGGTTGTCTTGCCTTACCAAAATTAAACTTGCAGTTTCTTACTTTACATGATTATTTGTTTAGGAATTTTAATCTCTTTCGCTTGGAATCAACTTACGAAATTAGACAGGACATTGAAGATGCTATTAGAAGATTGAGGCCATGGCAGACTGAAGTTGGCGATGTCATGTTTGGCGGTTGGGCTCGAATGGCACAGCCCATAACAACTTTTTCGATTATTGAAGTTGGCAGACCAAATATTGGTGAAAAACAACCATCCAGAGTAAAAGCAGATGTAACTGTTACCTTGAGTACTAGACATGACATTAAATCGGAATGGGAAGCTCTTCGTAAGCATGATGTTTGTTTTTTTGTTACTGTAAAACCAAAATCATTACCTGGCACTGCTTATGATCCAAAAGAGCCATTTGTGTCCCAGGTTGGCTTGACATATGTTAGAGGTTGTGAGATCGAGGGTATGCTAAGTCCAACAGGTAAAGTTATTGAAGAAGGACCTGAACCCAAACCTGAATTTGAAGGTGATAAGCGAACCTTCCGAGTATGGCTTGATTGCAATCAGTATCGTTTAGATATGTTAAATGCTGTGGGGGGAAAAGAAGATGTTTATGAAACTTTTAATGTTATAATAAGAAGAAAGCCAAAAGAAAACAATTTCAAAGCCGTTTTGGAGACCATTCGAAATTTAATGAATACAGAATGTGTTGTTCCAGATTGGCTTCATGATATTGTATTAGGTCATGGTGATCCGGGTGCAGCACATTATACAAAAATTGAAAATCAGCTCGCAGAATTTGATTTTAATGATACCTTTTTGAATATGGATCATTTGCGAAAAAGCTTTCCAGATTATGAGCTGCAGGTAAATGTAGATGATCCTAAGAAATTAGTACCACCATTCAAAATTGAATTTCTGCCAAGTAACATTTGTCCTAATGATGAATCCAACAAAGAAAATATGAAGAAACTTAAAGTCACCCCACATGTGTTACCTAGCCGAGGTCCATATCTATATGAACAGCCAAAGAAAAATATGGTTCAGTTTACTTCTACACAAGTTGAAGCTATTCGATCAGGCATGCAGTTAGGTTTGACTATGGTGGTTGGACCTCCGGGTACTGGTAAAACTGATGTTGCTGTACAAATAATATCAAATCTTTACCATAACTTTCCTAATCAGAGGACACTTATAGTAACTCATTCTAATCAAGCCTTGAATCAACTTTTTGAAAAAATTATGGCTTTGGATATTGATGAAAGGCATCTGCTTCGTTTAGGTCATGGTGAAGAATCATTAGAAACTGAAAAAGATTTCAGTCGATATGGACGTGTGAACTTTGTCTTAGCTAAACGATTAGAATTGTTAAATGAAGTGAAAAGTTTACAAGAAAGCTTGAATGTTCCTGGTGATGTTTCATATACTTGTGAAACAGCTGGCCATTTTTTCATGTATCATGTCTTAGCTCGCTGGGAAGAATTCCTTAGTAAAGTCAAACCTGGCAAAAATCGAACAGTATCTGTAGAAAAGATTGCAGAATGTTTCCCTTTTAAGAAATTTTTTGAAGGAGCTCCACAACCTCTGTTTCATGGCAAGTCTTATGCTGAAGATACAGAAATAGCTGAAGGTTGCTTTCGTTATATAAAGAAGATTTTTTCTCAGTTGGAGGAATTTCGAGCATTTGAGCTTCTTCGCAGTGGTTTAGATCGATCACAGTATTTGCTTGTGAAAGAAGCAAAAATAATAGCTATGACATGCACACATGCTGCATTGAAAAGGAAAGAATTGGTAGAACTTGGCTTTACATATGATAACATTCTGATGGAAGAGTCTGCCCAAATTTTAGAAATAGAAACATTTATTCCTCTTTTGCTGCAGAACCCAAAAGATGGGTTTAACCGTCTGAAGAGGTGGATTATGATAGGTGATCATCATCAGTTGCCACCTGTAATTAAAAACATGGCCTTTCAAAAATACAGTAATATGGAGCAATCATTATTTACTAGGTAATTTTTTAAAATTATATTTGCTTTATTTCAAAGTTATTTTGAATCATCGGTGCTATTTCGTTAGAGCAACGTCAGTTAAAAATACGCCACTTTTTTTTGGCCACCAATTATTGCTAAGTTTAAAATTATGAAATAATAATAGAGTTCAAAAGTTTAAAGAAATTCACTTCTGTAAAAAGTAATTTTTTAAATTTCATAATTCTTAAAGTAAATTTTTCTTTTTAACTTTTTAATCTAGAATATTCTACACATAAATAAATAAAAAATAACAAAACAAAATATAATCTAAAAAGGTGGCATAATATTACAAATATCATTCAGTATAGAAAAAATTTCAGTTTTTGAATACAACTGATGCCACATAAATTCTATCAAATATGACTCTAAATGCTGGTGAGCAGTTTACTGCTGACGTTTATTCTTCCATTTAGCACTGTCCCACAATCGTTCCACAGTTTAGATATGGCATCAGGTTTCGGGGTTTACAAAATTATAATTCACAGTGAAATTTTCATACCTATCATTTCTTAATTCCTCTTTCTTAAGGGAAAAAAATGCACCATCCGCGGATTCAATTTTTATGCGCCTCCTGAATAGCAGTCATTGTATCACAAGTTGTATCACAACGGGAACATTGGGAACGGCGACCAGAAAATATTTTTTGCTTTTCCGGCATAAACTCCCGAATACCCATTGTTCCGGAAAAATACATCAAATTTTTTTTTTTTTTTTCTTTTTATTAAAAGACTTTCATGTATTTCTATGATTTTTTTTTTTTTTTTTTACAAGACATCAAACTATTTACACATACCTCCCTCGAGTTGTTATGGCCGAGTTCTAGCTTGAAGTTGGCAAAATTCAATCTGTATCAATTCTTGACACCACAGATAGATTGACAAACAGCATTGACTAAGAAAGATGCGAGCCTTCAAACCATGTATTGATTCTCAATCTTTTTTTTTTTTTTTTTTGCACAGCAAGAATGTATGTAACAATGCCATATGGGAGCTTTGTTCGAGTCAAAAGTGGTGCTAATTTGGTAGACAGTTGTACGGATTTTTGGCGATTTACATTGGCGCAATTGTTGGTGCGGTTTTTACAGTCGTCAGCCATCTTGAAAAATGCTGTTTTTACGTATTTCACGCATAGTAAAGTATTCGAAACTTTAAAAAATTAATATCGTTAAAAATAATGGATTAATTTTTTTTGTTGAAAACGTTTTTTTTTTTTTTTTTTTTTTTTTAAGTTGGCTGTCAAATGTAAATAAATGCATTTATTAAGAGTATAAAATGCTAAAGTAAGTTTAAATTATTACTTTCATATAATAGAATAAAAACATTGCGCCAACATTTAATTGGAATAAAATATTACTTAAATTGAATATTGAATTAAAAACTTCATACCAACATTTAAAAGAATTCAAATTTTTCAATTACTTAAATTCAAATCCTTTAAAAGTTTTATAGGATATAATTATTTAACATTAAAACATATGTAGCAATGAATATCTCGGGAATTTTTGAAAACAGTGTATTAATTTTTTAATAAAAATTGAAGTATACAATAATAAAGTAAAAGAAAAATATGTACTATTCTGTTTCGAGGTTCGTAAAAAATTGCCAAATTATCGTTGATGCCAATGCTGCCAAAAAGAATTGCGGCAAGAAAGGAAGTATAATAGTAAATAACTATTTAAGATTTATGTTTTAATTTAGATGAAAGGTTAATTTCATATAATACTTTTTTATTATTATAATTTATATGAAAAAGGCGGTAAAAGTATAGTTTAGGGTACCCCTTCTCGAAACATCGCGATTTTTGGCGGTACGTGGATACTGATTTTGTAAAATTCTTGGACTTAATATTTTGGCTTGCGAAGCAGCGATTTTTTACCCAAAAATCGCCAGTTAATCTTTGGATTATGGTAACTTGCGAAAATTTGGCGACCAACCCTGCTACAGCAACCTGCTAGTTTTTGTTTGGAAGCCATTTTGTTTTCACGAAGTAAAGACTTTTTTTTTACTCAACATTTTTTTCCAACAATCTGCTAGCCGAATTATGCTTATGCTAAAACTTTTGTGGAACAAAAGTGCTTAATCATGATGAAGATTAGGTGCGAAAATTGGGACAAAGTCCAGAATCGCCCACTGCTTACCTACCGCGTCTTTAAGAATTGCACATACACGGTATCATCCATGTATATGTCGACCTATTTTCACTTGGAAAAACATCCCAGAATGGCATTGCGCACACTCTTGACTTTATCCATGGACACTGCTAAAGTCCTAGCTAGTAACCTTTATCGCTTTACCAAAATGTCGCCAAACTACCTGTTACCATATTCCAAAGATTAGCCAAATCGCCGCTACACAAAGCCAAAATAACAAGACAAACAATTGCACAAACTCGGTATCCATGCACACATTGACTTATTTTCACTTAAAAAAAATCCCCGAATTGCACAAAAATGGCATTGCACACTCCTTTGACTTTATCCATGTACACTTCGACCTATTTTCACTTTAAAAAAAATCCTCGAATTGCACAAAAATGGCATTGCACACACTTTTAACTTTATCCATGTACACGTCGATCTATTTTCACTTAAAAAAAAAATCCCAGAATTGCACAAACTTGCATTACACACTCCCTTTACTTTACCCATGTACACATCGATATATTTTCACTTAAAAAGTCAAAGGAGCACCAAATTCTACACTATAGGCAAACAAAAAATACATAATCTCAATAAAATACGTTTCAAACCAAACAATAAAATAACATAAAAAAGGAAAAACATGTTAACCAAAAACAAATATTCACTTACCATGATTTTCGAGTTCGCTTCGTACACCCAGAGCCACGTAAAAATCAAAATATCAATCATACTCAAATGACTTTTTCAAACCAGGTACTCTTTCTGATCGAATAATTCACATAGTGACCATCTGAACCTTTTTTCCTACAAACCCATTCAAATCCATCTAAATGGTTTTTACGTTCGACTAGACGCATATCCGTCCTACATACAGGACACTTATAATGGCTACTAAGTAAACCTTCATTTACACACCAGTCAATTAAAGCTTTTTTCCCCTTTCGCTCCAAATCTTGCAGAAACTTCAAATTAATCTTACTACATTCGGCCATTCTACCGTCTAATGAATCAAACCAACACACACCACAAAAACGCTTACAAAACATCCCATGATTCAAAATTTCCCAGAATCATGCACCCGATTATGTCACAATAGGGTTTCCATAACATTCAACTACTCAGGCTACCATAAATGAAACAACTACTTGGCGATAAATCAAACAACAACTTCGCCATGATACAAGGGGTACCTTAAAGTCTACTCTATCCGAAAAAAGCTAAAACATGACTGAATGGAAGCATAAGATTAAATAACTATTTCAGATCATTATTATAATTTATATAAAAATTGCTAAACATAACTGAATGGATGCCTGCATCGCTATTTCGCTACCGACTTATTGCTAAAGCATAATTTCACCTCGTTGGTTGTTCAAATGTAATTTTCTATAATGAATGATGCCTTTTCTTTGAAAATATTCTCGGTAAAGTGCAGAATCGCTCACTTATTTGTTTGCCGCTTTTTACAAGGGTGAAAACTATTGGATTTTTGTCAATTTTCTTTTACTCTTTAAGTGAAAATAGGTCGATGTGTACATAGATAAAGTCAAGGGTATGTGCAGTGCCATTTTTGTGCAATTCTGGGATTTTTTTTTAAAGGGAAAATAGGTTGATGTGTACGTGGATACCGTGTATGTGCAATTCTTAAAAACGCGTCAAGCAGTGGATGATTCTGCACTTTACCCAAAATTCTATTGCCGACGTTTCGTCATGGGCAATTCCCAAATTGTTAAATCCATAGGATATCAAAAAAGGATCTTAAATCAAAAAATGATTTAAAAATTAAACTAGTATTTCAATGGCGTCTTAAGAAATATAGAACTATATAAACTTACGCAATCTGAAATCAATGCTTATACTAGATTTGGCGCTTTTGCACATACATTTTCGCTGCAATTTTCTTATGACTTTCAAAACAGAATAGTAATCTTTTTTATGTTAATCCTTTTAAAATAGTCTGGCAATTTGCTGCAGGTTTGTAAAACCAGAAATGCAGGTAGAAATTATTCCCCTTATCTACTCGGTTTCACCCTAAAAAATGTTTTTGACAACCTTAAATTCCGCCGTACCAGTTTTGTCAGCCTCGCAAGTAAGCCTGATCATCCCGGATAAGAACTCCAGAATCAATTTCAAGGCACGAAATCATCCCAAACCATTCTTCCTTATAAAAACAAGGAAAATGAGCATCGGTAACCCAAGAGGGGGGGGGGAAACCCTCAGGAACCCAAGCTGTTTTAACACTTTGGTGTGCCTAAATGGACATTCATTATTAGTTTATTTAAGTTCCTGTTCTAATTTTGTTCATCAGAGCTACCTTTTAAAGTTCATTCTGGATTTCTCATATGATATTAGCCCTAAGATAAGTGGAGCAAGCATTATTATTTCTAGAATATTTGAGAAATATGTGACAAAATGAAAAATGTCTGCATGGTATCAACACGTAATGGATGTATTTTACAGAAAGTTTGCAACGAATTTCTTACTTTTTGGAGAGCGTCTGGAAGAGAACAATGAAAACATGATATTGAATGTTTTATTTCTGATACTAGAATCTTAACATGTTTATCTTACCTTTATTTTCTATACTTTTCACTAGACACAAGAATGGAAAATATCAAAAAGGCTTCTAATCTTATCACATGGGCAAACATTATAGATAGGGATGTTTTTATTAATACAGAAATTGAAAATTTACGATTTAAAAGATTCATCCAATATGTCTTAATGCATCATACACATAGCTGGCACTAGGCATTTTCCCACCTGATGCAATATTCGTGGATCCTAAATTCTGCTGCCTAGTGCCTTTCTAAATTCTGCTTCTAATGCCTGCTCTAAATTCTAAAAGTTTTGCCATTTTTAGATTTTGTTGTTCGGTGTGTCACTAAATTCTAAAAATTCTGTCACATTGGCTCTGTAACCGGCCTTTATCATATATATTTCATATTTTTTTCTGAATGTTCATATTACTAAAGAAATAAAATTAGCTGCTTTTTTTATACATTCTTAATGTATTTGGTGGTTTTTAGAATAACACAAATCCTTAATGAAATCTAAAAATTCTAAAATGAAAAGGAAACGTGTTGAAGAAAGAAACTGAATACATAAAGAAAATTAGTCTTCAAAGATATGTGCAGTTATTATTATGTAAATTACCCAATTGTTTATGATTTGAGCCTTTACTATAATTTCCCACTTCTATTTCCTCGTATGACAGAGTTTGCCATTTCAAGTTCCTCATATGATAGAGTTATTGAGCCATATTAAATTAAAATTAAATTGTACAATCTTTGACCACTAGTCTACATTTTTAGTTTGAATTGGACTGTTCTTGTTTAATTATGTCACCGTGAGCTGTAATTGATTTTATCAGCATCAGAACATGCTTTTATGTTCCAAGTTCTTTTTAAATAAGAGGCTTATTTAAACCTTTGTCTGTCTGATATTGTATTGTAGTTACTTTCAGACATAGTAGCAATAATTTGCTTCACGTTTTTCAGGGGTTTGGGACTATTTAACTTTTACCATATGAAGTAAACTGTCATAGGTACATTGTGGAGAGGTTGACAAGATAGGAAATAAAGCACGCAGAAACTAGCGAGGAGTGTTGTTGTTACAAAAGATAACTATTTTCTAACAACTTTCAACAAAATATTTATCTATCATTTTAATTTGAAGCCTTACAAAACATAAATGTTTTGTAGCTTTTAATGCGTAATTATCCTAATGTTATAAATTACGTGTATTTTAAACTGTGAAATTTTATTATATTTTTGATTTTAATAGGGCTTTTTTAACAAATATTGTTAAAAAATGAAATTTAATAGAGGCCATGTAAATCCATAGTGACTAAGATTATCAAACTTCCTAATTTAATTATTTATAACTAACTGCTTACCCTTAAAAAGTTATCTCTACATATTAAAGCGAGTTATTGCCTTGCATTAATACCGTCACCATAGTTCACAAGATAAAATACAAAAATGTAAAAATTCAAGTAAAACTTATTATTTGCGTCTAGTGAGACTTAATACAAAATAACGTATCACCTCTGGTGCTTTCATGGCTTATTAGAACCTTAAAGTATATTAACTGGGTTACAATCCCTGGAACTCTACACGAAGCTATGACACTAATTGCATCAAACAGAGCCTGACTAACTTTCAACACTTGCTAACCATGCCTACAGGTTTTCAGGCCTTTCAGATTTGTTCTAATCAGCAGGTCTCTCTCTAGACAAGCAGGAGCAGTGACAACATTCAGTCTTTTGGTTATGAATCATGTTGATTATGAGCTTACTTCTCATTTTAAACTATGCCATTTGACATAAAATCTACCTTCTATTTACTAAACCTCTACACTGACCAAGTATGTGACAAAATGAGACAAAAAAAATCAACATAAAGCTAATTGTTAGTAAAACATTAATGTCACTTGTCTTCTCTCAAATATGTCCAGCTATTATAAGTGTAAAATATTTAATGTTGCTTTATAAATTGCATAAAGTTTATTTTATTCTCAGACTTATTAATAATTATGTAATCTATTTTATTTTTAGGATGGTATTACAAAAGTGAAATTCAGGCATAGATAATATTTTTAATTGAATTTATTGAGTTCCCATTTGTCATAGGTCCTTAATTTTTTTCATTAATCGTCCTTAAAAGTCCTTAAAAATACTTAAGTTCTGTGTGCAGAAATGTGTACAAACCCTGTAAAGGAATGAAAATTGTCGCTTGTTACTTTTTTTCCAGTTAATCCTTGTATTCGCTGAAAATTTGTTCTCCTGTCATATTCTGCTTGACAACTAGAATTATACTGTTACGAAATGTACAGGTGCGGTAAGATAGCTTCCCCGCAAAGCAATTTTAGTGTTGCCATAAAATGGCAAAGGAGGGTTGGGTTGCCACATTTGGCAAAAATTCGCCCATTTGGCGACAAAATTGGCAATATACCATGGGCAGTTGGAGAACCTTCTGGAACGAATTCTTACCGGTTTAGCCCAGAATGTTCTCGAATACAAGCCGAAAGCTATATAAACCCTGCTGGTCTGCAGTCAGTGAGTGAGTCGAGAGGGCAAGTGAGTACGTCTCAGAGAGTGTAAATGGCATGTGATGGATCAAGGAGCCATTCCTTAAACCACATATTTAACAATAACCCCCATGTTTAACAGTAAACCACATATTTAAAAAATAATTATCAGTTATTGCTGCTGGTTATTTCATAAAATCAGCTGCAGAGTAGCTCAAATTGGAGCTGTAAAAAAACGGGAAATGTGATTTTACAGCTATGTATGTTTTTGCCTTACTTCAAGAATAAACTGTATTAATTACTGCATAATTTTCTATTTGACTGTATCTGCATTTGATTTTACGTGTTTGGAAACCTTTGTATAAGTTCTTTTTTACAGTTAAAATATAACAAGAATGTTGCATTATTTTGTAGAAGATTTTTAAATATCATATTCTGAAGATTAACCTTGAATACTAAAATATATGAAGGAAGTGTATAATTGATGATTATATATAAATGTTTTTCACCTTTTAGTATTAAATATTTAAATAGTAAGTGATAATCAAATCAGAGTATTGATACTTAGCTGAAAAAGGTAGCAATTAATATTAAATTATTATATAATCAGTTTGAATGTACTATTATTATGTTTCCAACAGATTTGTCCGACTTGGCGTACCAACAATAGATCTGGATGCTCAGGGTCGTTCAAGACCTAGCATTTGTGAACTGTATAGATGGCGCTATAAGAATTTAGGAAATCTGCCTCATGTTTTGAACTTACCTGAATATAAAATGGCTAATGCTGGTTTCTGGTTTGACTATCAACTCATAAATGTTGAAGATTTTAATGGCGTTGGTGAATCAGAACCTAATCCTTACTTTTATCAGGTAGGATAGGAATTTCTTACAGTATGAAATTTTTGAAAATGTATATGTTACTGTTTTCATCAGTAATTTTCCATTGGTATTTATATGTTGCCATTTAAGTTACTTTATAATTTCTTAAAATTTTTTTTTAATGTGTTCTAAAGATATTTTTTGTATTAGTATGAATAAGTAATTAGTAAGGTTAAGATTACATTGATATTTACAGGTGCATTTTACACTACTTGAAAACATCAATGGCACTTTAAATTTTTCCTTTTTTTTTTTTTTTCCTTTACCTTTTTTCCTCTTTGCTCCCCATAAAAGTTGAAGCAAAACTTAATCAGCATTCTTCATACAGTATAATTTTTTTCATAGAGGGAAAGCCATGTAGCCAGTCCATTTGCTGGGATTTGAACCCCAGATCAAACATGCAGGGCTGGTAATTTTACCACTTAGCGGTTGGTGGGCACAAAATGGGAGGAGCAAAAACCGTATTTTTATCAAAAGCATTTAGCAGATCAAATTGAACAAGATTTAGATAAAAAACTAGTGAAGATATTGTTAATATAATGGGAAAAATTAAGAATTCTGAAAGCTTTAGGAAAGATTTGATTGGAGTTGATGCCTTTAACTGAAGGAAATGAACTTTTGTAAATGTAAAAAGCTTCAAGGAAATTCATTTCACCAGCTGAAGAAGCTATATGGATAATTTTCTTAGAATCAAAGTCAAAAATTGGGTTAAATTTCCATCTATGACTAGCTATCAAAGATTTGTTTATTTCCCTTTTTCATACATAAGATTCATATTCCTTGATGCAAAATTTGAATCCTCTTTTAGTTTAGTCAGTATATCTCTAATCACACTGACAAGGTATATTATAAAAAACTAAAAGGGTATTATATTGTTCCTAAGTTATGAACTTTTTTTTTAGTTTCTCTACCCCCCCTTTTACTTTCTAAAATTATTTACACCATAAAAAATTCTTTTGAAGTCACTGATAAAGATATTTCTCCCCAGTATTCAGTTACAGTTTCATTTGCTATTAAATCACCATTTACTAATGTTCCAGTTAAAAGAGCATTAAAATGTTTTGAAACCAGACTTTGAGAATTTCTTTTCCCACATACTCAGGGCTTAATTTCTAAAATTAGAAGTGCTGGAGCCCTATGAAAACCTTCAAAGAAGAACAAGAGTAAATAAATAAATAAAATGACTCATTAATAAATTTAAAATTAAATAGTCAATTACTATCAAATTAATTAATAGCAATTTAGTTAATGTCTATAAATTGTTATTTAATCATAATTATTATATAATTAAAATTAAATGTAAAGATATAAATTAAAATTTAATAAGTGATTTTTAATATAATTTTATTGCTAAAAAATAAAATTTTCGAGATAAAATTTCAACTGAACTTGTTATTCAATTACATAAAAGAAATGCAGCAACCTTCTTATTTAGGGCTCCGGTGAACTGCGGCTAGATTCATTACAAAAACTAAGAAATATCGGAGCCGGGATCCGTTGAACACTGGCACAATTTAAGCTTGGATCGTAGGGGGGGGGGAGAAGTTCTTTTATCATCACAAAAATTAAATATACTTAAAATATAGCTGATGAAAATTTAGATAATGCTTAAAAGAGAGTGAAACAGAATGAGGACGTGAGGGTATGAGTGGGTGGAAACAAAAAATAAGGGGAATCTTGGTGAGAGAGAACGTTCCTCTTTGACTGCGGCTCTCTGCTGATATAATTATAGCCATCAAGCGTATGTGTGTCAGGAGTAAAATGAGTCCTGACTCTGACTCCTAAGGATGAATTTGAAAATGCTGGTTATGCTTTTCACCCCCCCGGTATTTGGTTACATTAGTGGATACTGTGGGAAGACGACATATAGCACGTGCTTTCACTCTTATTGTACTCGCTGTCACTTAACGCATGTTTAAGAACACAAATTTTCCTTTCTGCGAGGATAGGATAACTAATTGTAACTATCGATAACAATACACTAGATACGATGGCATGGCGAGAAATGTACACGTTCCTAAACAAACTCCCCCAAATTTATACCCTTCTTAAAGGGAAAGGTTTCCGTATGTGAGGGGACTTTACTTGAACGTCTCATGTTCTCAAGAGCTTGTATTTCTAGGCAAATAGAGTATTGCAAGATCTGCTTATTGTTAAACTAAAACAATAGGAATTCTAATTTTTTTCCCCTTGAAATTGTGGCTCAGTTTTGTAAAAAGAAGTACCGGAACTCATCTTATTTAGGGCTCCGGCGTGCTCCAGCTAGAATTGTAATTTATCTTAAAAATTCAGAAGTACCGGAGTCGGACTCCGGCGCAATTTAAGCACTGCTTTAGGCAGCTTTCTTTTGGTCATTAATGTTTTTCTTTTCATCTTTAAGTGTCTTCCTTTTGCCTTGGGCGTCATATTTCTTTCTTTCTTTCTTCTTTTTTTTTTTTTTTTTTTTTTTTTAAATTTTCATCTTTGCACAAAAATATATAATTTACTTCTTTCTCTTCTTCGGTTTTCTTCTCTCTGTATTAGTCTTAGGAATTAATTATTCTATGGTTTTAGAAATTCAGCGCATGTTGTCCTATAGTTGGGACCATTGTAACTTCCTTCTTTGACTACGTAGTAAGTGTTCCCTCCTTTAACTTTAGTTATTCTGTACGGTTCAAGATATTTTGGTTTTAATTTCAAATGCAGACCAAACTGTGTTCTTTTTATAGCTACCAAATCTTCAACTTTGTAAGATCTTGATTCTCTTCTTAAATTGTATGCTTTCTTATTTTCTTCCTGAATTTTAAATAGCTGTTGCTTTGCATGTTTTCTAAGTTGATTTCTTTTTAGCTTCAAAATTCGCTTGAAGTTCAGCTTCGATCATTTCAATCAACTGATCAGTACTTTTAGCATTTATCTTTGTCCCAAAGAGCAATTAAAAGGGTATGGTATCTATACTTCGCTGGTATGTCGAGTTCACAGCCTGCTGCAGTTCATTTGTATGTTCGTACCACTGATCCGGATTTTCTAAGGATAACTTTGAAAGAACTGATATGATAGTCTGATTGATGCGTTTGGCTTGATCATTGGCTCTAGGCAGGCCGGTAATATCAAATGATGCGTAATGTTCTCTTTAAAATAGTAATAGGCAAATTCGCTGCAGGTGAAGGCTGTACCTCTATCCAAGGTTATTTGGGAAGGACTGCCAAATACAGCCTTTTGTATCTCCGACTTTGCTATGACTTCATCGGATAATTCCCTAAAAATTTAATAAACGCGCAATATTCACTAAAATGTATTTATAAATTTTATGTGTACTCTCCAAAGATGCGAGGTGATCTAAATGATATGTTTTTAACAGCACATCTTCTCTCTGCAATGGATGCAAGACACCTTCTTTCTTTCCTCTCTTATAATTCACAAGAACAAAACGAATGCAATTTGCTATGATGTTTTCTACTTTCTGTCTTAATTTAGGGAGAAAATAATATTTTTCAATGTTTTAATATATTAACCAAACTAAAATGGTGTTAACATTTTACATTAAGGAATACAAATCTTATGCCCAAAAAGAAGAAATAAACAAATATTCGAAAGTTAATCAGAGTTGAAAACTGGGCGTAATTTTGACTTTGATTCTATGAAAATTCTCTGTAAAGCTTTCTTAATTGGTGAATTGGATTTCTTTGAAGCTTTCACAATCACAAAAAATTTTCTTCCTTTGTTAATGACATTTTTCTTAACAAATGGCACTACATTCCTGTTCATTTTGTAGCACTTTTTGCTTTCAACATTAATATATAACTTCTCCCATTTTACAGATTTTGTTTGTTTGTTGTTGTTCCTAAAAAGAGGGACCTGTATCTGATCACCCTCAAAATTGATAATTTTGTTCAAAATCTCTGCCAAAATAACATTGTTGTTCAGCCCAATTTAAAATTTTCTGGCATGATTCTTTTCCAGTTTGAATTCATTATAATCATCTTAACTATCCATGGAAGTTATGTGAGTATTCTCTGATTATATACCTAGCCTTCCTGCAAAGTTGGCAATCATTGGTGACTAATTTTTTTCCAACCTTACACATGAAAAACAGTAACCATTATAAAAAATGTGGTGACACATTGAAAATTGCATAAAACAGTAGCAAATTAATTAAATAAAAAGCACAAACGTCCATAATGAAATGCTGAGAATTACGTAAAACAAACATATGTAATAAAACACTCAAAATTTTCTAAAACAACATTGGTTATAATGTTCTCTGTAATTTTGCCTGTAAATTGAAATTCATTTTTGATTGTAAATTGGGCCTAATCATTTTTTTTTTCAGCGCAAGATTCTCAGAATTCTAACACTTTGTTCATATTCACTTTTGGCAGGTAACTTGAAAACATTGTGAAACCATTCTGGGATCTTAAATTGAGATTCTTCATGTTTTAAAAAATATGAAATAGTTATAGGAGTACAAAAAACCATTGTGAAATTTTATGCCTAACTGAAATGTGCAATCTTCAAAAAAGCTATTAGCATAGATTGTAGATGACAGTTATTATACATAATAGTTTCAGCTATGGGCAAAGATCTAGTTTTTAGTTATTTATCCATATTTATGTAAACAACATTTTGCATCTAAAAACTTTAAAAGAACACAGGCCAGTTTAAAACAAAACTCGGTACTTTTCCATTATTCACTTACAAAGTCGTCGATCATTGGCAACTAATTTTTCGCCAACCTGACGCATGAAAAACAGTAGCCATTTTAAAAAATGGCAACATGCTGAAAATTATATAAAATAGCAGTGAATTAACAAAATTAAAAATACAAGAAGCATCTATAATGAAACACTAAAAACTTCATAAAACTGCAACAAATAAACCAAATTAAAAACATAACAAACATCCATAAAAAATACTTTAAATTTTCTTGCTCTTCTGCCCATGTGCACTGCATGCGGCCGAATTCTTGGCATTGCAGAGCAACATGGTGCTGCTCTATTGCACAGACTATCTTCATGTGCATTCTTGTATTCTCATCTTCATGTGCATTCTTGTATTCTCATCTGCTAGACAAAATGTTACATTTATGAAAAAATGCAATGCTTTATTTTTTGTTTGCATGCAAACTCTAAAGTGGCATTGCAATTCATTACAAAGGGAAAAACTCTAACACTAATCACAACAAGCAAAAACCATTAACTTGATCCTGAAATTTCAGAACCATGCGCATTATGCCACAGCATAATGTGTAATGGCAGAATGCACCCGAAACTGTGGGTGAGTTTCTAGATAAATATGCTTCCACAAAAATCTGGGTTGCCTACTTCGGCAACATAGTGCTTTGCCCAGTGATTCTTGTCAGGGTTAGTAATAATAATAAAAATTAGACAGCACCATTATATGAATAAAAGATTAGGGACCAATCATTCATTTGGCACAGATAACATTTACAGTTATGCAAGAAACTACAGTACAAATTTCAGCTTGTGGCAAATAATTTATGCCTTTTACGTCATTTATTGCATGAAAGGACAGTTTTTTTTTAATTAAAAAAAGAATTTTTAATGAAAATGCTATGTAAAATTATTTGCCATCTTTGTAATTTTTTTTAGCTGTGATATATTTTGGGAACAAAAAGAAGATAATGATATATGTCTTTGCAATTTAATTGAATAAGTTTAATATTAATTATGTATTTTTATTTCATCCTTCTCTAGAACTTAGCTGAAGCAGAATATGTTGTTGCTGTCTTCATGTACATGAGAATCCTTGGGTATCCAGCTGAAAAGATATCTATCTTAACCACATATAATGGACAAAAGCATCTGATCCGTGATGTTGTAAATAAAAGATGTGCTGAAAATCCCGTTTTTGGACGACCTCACAAAGTAACCACAGTTGATAAATATCAAGGACAGCAAAATGATTATATCCTTTTGTCTTTAGTTAGAACAAAAGCAGTGGGTCATCTGAGAGATGTACGTCGCTTAGTTGTTGCCATGTCACGAGCAAGACTTGGATTGTATATATTTGCACGAGTATCATTATTCCAAAATTGTTTTGAACTTGCTCCGTCATTTAAAATTCTTATGCAGAGACCTCTTGAGTTACATCTTCTGCCACATGAAACCTATCCAAGCTTGAGAAAACATAATGAAATTCCTATATGTGAACCTTTTATTGTGTATGATATGCCACAAATGGCAAAATTTGTATTTGATTTTTATCAGCAGAAACTAGAATTTGTGAAACAACATGTCCAAGAAAATAAAAATTAATTTAGAAAAGAGCTTGCCTCTTTTTTGTAGGATTTTGGGTTCCTTTTTGATACGGTTTTTTAATTCACCTCAAAAAAGTATTTTTAGCGAGAGGATTTGGTTTCCTGGAAAATGAAAAGTATTGCTACTTCATGGAAGTATTTGTTGCAAGCTTTGTGTACAAGTAATTCAGCAAAAAGTTGTCTTGAATAATAATATTTTCATTTTAAATATGAGCACAAATATATACATGTCATTAATTTATGGTGAAATAATATGATATTTTTTTTTTAACCAGTAAGCAGTGCAGTTTTCAGCTGCAGGTTTTAAATATATTTTATATTCTATATCAAGGCTGCTCAAATTTCATGTCAACAGTCATTCAATGAGAATTTGCCTTCATAGTGTGATGTTGCATCAAAGACAATGGGAAGTTTTGTAGTGTCTTTATTTTCTGAAACTACAGCTTGATGCAGTAAAAAGTACTCTTGTTAAGTTTTTAAATACGTAGGTTGGGGCAAAAGTCATGGCAACTATTTTTTTTTTCTTGAAGAAACCAGTCCGGTTGGAAAATGTGACATATACAGGCGAAAGGATAAGGTATTAACTACATGTGTGGACAATGAATAGCACTGAAATATCGTAACACATGAATTTATTACGGTAGTATACAGGGCAATATGGCCTTCATCGTGCAAAAGAATGATAGCACAATACACATAAAGTTGACATGACAAACCTGGGCCTAAAGACCCTCAGTGTAGTCCCCTGCTACTGTCACCACACGCTGCCAACGATGTGGGAGGCACTAAATACTATCAGCCTCAGCATTTGCCGCATCATGTGTGAATCGAGTCAATCTGTTTGCGCACAGCATTAGCAATGTCCTCTCGTGTTGCTAACCGCCTACCACGTATTGGTTCCTTAATCTTGGGAATGAGATCAAAGTCACAGGGCAAAAGGTCAGGAGATATGGTTGGGTGCTCCAATTCTTCCCATCCCTAACGTTGGAGTAGTTGCTGTACACACTCTGCTGTATGTGGTCTTGCATTGTCATGTGGAATTATTGCACTGTCCACAAGATCCGGACATTTATCCCGAATGCCAGGTCATACCTGTCGCACCAGGAAGTCCCTGTAGTACTGTGCGGTCACTCTTCTGCCATGAGGAACAAAGTGGCAAACAGTGACAACCCTGACGATTAAAATAACTAAATGATTACCATTTAGTTATTTAATGATAAACATGTTAGAAATATTTGAAAGAAATCACAATCTGAGAATTTAATATTTAGCTGTCCACAAATTTGACTTTCAAAGTATAATCAACAAAAATATCTTGCATGTACCAAACTTCAGATTTGAGACAGAAAATAATTATAATAATTATGAATTAGAATTTTTCCTTTGCATTATTATTATTATTGTTTATTTATGTTTTTGTAGATATTTAGGAAGCTAAATTAAAAATTTATTTAACATATATTTTATTTTCTTAAAAAAAGTAAATTCTAGCCCGTCAGCTGTTTTCATACGATACACATGCAATTTGAGTTTGAAGCCACTGAATTATGGCACATGCTTTCATTTTGTTTGAAACCATTGGTAAATTAAGATTGAATTTTACTTATTTTTTAATTCACAGAGGATAATCTGTAGTAGATTTTTAAGGCTTGCCTTTTGTGAATGTATAACTGATTTTATATAAATATTTCATATGTATTGATTTTTGCTCTATATTAGTTTTTACTCTTATAAATATGGTATTTTTTTATAATATACTTCTTTCTTTTCTTTAATGTTTATTTGAAATCATCATTTCTCTTTGTTGTATAATTGAGAAAAATGTGCCTTTAGGTAATCTTATACACAATAAAAAATTAACAAGTTATTCAACTACAGTAATATACAGATAAATTTGAATGATTGTATGAACCATTAAAAAAATTATTGCTTTTTCAATGATGGTTTTGAAACTCAGGAAAATGAATACTGACATGAAATTGATTTTTTCAAAGGTGAATTCTGAAATCCAAGGAAAAAACTTCTGATAATAAATGTGGAGTTAAACAGGATTTTAATCAGTCCTATTTCACTCAGATATAATGTAATGTACAAGAAATTATGTAATATATCAAAATTATAAGCTACTTTAGTAAACTGCTGGTTGTAAAAATAATTTTTAATACGTATTTTGAAATTAAATAAAAGAAATGTTTAAAGTATTTTAATTTCTGAAATATTTGTATTTTTATAATGCTATTTATCATCAACTATTTTTGCCTTCTCAGTTTTATGTGTATAATTTCTGCAAGTAATAAACATGTGTAATATGAAGCATCTCTCAAACATTTTTTAAATTAGGATTCCCACTCACCTGGAAAATCAGGGAAATGAAAAATAGCTTACAAAATCATGGAAAATATGAACTTTTTGAGGAAAAAACGAGATTTTGTTCAAAATGTCAAAAGAACTTTAAAAAAAAAAGTACAGATCAATACTTTCAAATAATAAAAAATGAATCTTTTAAGTAGTACCCAATGAATAAAAACTTCTCCCCTAATAAAAAAAGAAAGAGTAGTTAAAAAGTCATGACCCTAGGTGGTTGTATATTATAGCTTAACATGGGGTATACGTTCCATCAAAGTAGAGCGTAATATGAAACAGTGTTAAACGAGGTTATCTCATCATGTAAATATTGGGGTTAGGGAAAGGGAAAGGTGGGTAGAAAATTGATCAGGTATTTTACCATTAAATTTATTAATTATGCTTTTTTATAACAATAAAACAAAAATTTATTTCTTACAAATATAGACACATAATAAACGATTATACATATAAAAATTAATAAAATTTTAAGTCAGTATGTTTATATTTCAGATCATTCAGTCTCTTCTGTATTTCCAATTTTCTGCCCTTTTATCAAGAAGGTATATAGTGTAATTTGTGTTTTCCTTTTTTGCACTCTGTAAGAAGTTGTTGGTAAGTGGATAAGGCATCTATAACACCCCATCTTGCCTTTGAACTCCTGTCAAAATTTGAGTCATTTTCAATAAATTGGTCCATAATTATTGGTTATAGTGGTCACACTGGTTTATAGAAACCCTGTTGAAAGTTTGTTTTGCTCTTCTTCAAAATCACTACTTTCAATATTTTTTGTGTTCTTGGTTCGCTAATTCCTTGAGCTCATCATTAGAAAGACTTGCTGCTGTTTCTTGCACTATTTCTTTGACATCTTCCACATTTACCTCATCTAAACCGGTTTGTTTCGCTAATTCCACTATTTCATTCATATCGACAGAGTGCCCAGTGTCTCCGCCCTTGCTTAGATCTGGTCAAATGTTCTTTCACATACCTTTAAACATTTTTCTGTTACCTCATTCCGAGAAAGGTTTATGTTTCCTACAGCATTCATGATATTGTACATCTATGGAACCTTTCCCTCTTTACATAGACGTTCTTTGGGCCTAACACTGCGTGCAATTTCGGGGAATCCCACAATTCAAATAAAAGAGCGTTAAATCGAAACAGCGTTAAGTGTGGTCTTACTGTATATTGAATAACTACTTTTAAGCACTTTAATCTACTGTAATTTAATCTACTGTAATTCTAAGCTCTTCGATTTTATGCTGAAGTACTAAAAGAGTAATGTTTATTATGAGTGATGTGGTTTAAACTTCTTTTGCAAAATGAAAAGTTTACCCTGCCCAAGCATTTGATATTTCTTTAAAACCTTACCTACTATTTTTTAACAGTATAGGTTGATATTTCTAGTTCTCTTTCTATGTATATGTTATTGTGAAAGACCGAAATTGGAGAATGTCGACTTTCACCGGAGAATATCAACATTCACCAAATACGTCGGTGGAAGATCGAATATTTCACTACATTCTTGTATATTCGGACCCTCACCGGTGTATGTCGACAATTACAGATATGCTCTGGTGAAAGTCGAAAAGGGAGGTCATAAAGTGCCATATAGTTTAGGTTGTTGCAATCAATAAGATTTGAATCACATAATTTAGTAAGTTTTTTACTACTGTTATTTTATTTTCTCATTTAGAATGTACTGTATAATTAAGTAAGTTTTTAACTTCTATTATTTTCCTTTCTCATTTTGAATGTACTGTGCGTTTTAAATTCTTATGTTCTTAAGTTCTTTTTATAAGTCTCAAGTGCGTTTTTTCGCGACTGAATTACGGAGAAGAAAAAAAAAATATATTCTTATATGTTCAACATTCACATTAGTACAAGGTGAATGTCGACATTGACCGGTGTAAGTCAGAAATAAGAGTATTTGGAAAATATTTCAGACATACACCAAGAGACTATGTGAATATCCAGATTTCGGTGTTTCACCGTAACATATATATATGAAGGTCAGTCAGAAAGCTAGTTGCACTACTTAAGAAAACAAAACAAGATAGAAATTTTGTAATAACTTTATTTTATCCTAAAGTTTCATTAAAAATCTGCTTCTGTTATGTAAGCATTTAGAATGCTTAGATGTGATCCTCTCATGCAGAATAACAAGTGGCCCAAGACCGCACCAAGATATCACAGCCCATACCATAATGGCGCAACCTCCATCTTCACAGTCGGCAAGAGGCAGTTAGAATGAAACGCTTCTTTGAGCGTTCTCCAGACATAAAGGCATCCGGTCGTCTGAAATAGAGTGAATGACGATTCATCTGACCATATTACCTGTTGCCACTGCTGTGGGGGCCAGCCTTTGTGATCTCTGCACCATTGGCGTCGCTTGAAAGCATTAGTTGCTGCCACCAAGGGTTTACGAATTGCCACTCTGCCATAAATGTTCGCAGCATGAAGTTCCCTTTTGGCAGTTTTTGTTGAAGCGGGGTTCTGGAGATGACTGTTCATTTGGGATGTTATCTCGGATAACGATTGCTTGTGCTTTCTGGGTACTATGCTCTTTCAAGACCCGAGCTTTGACTTTTGGCCACTCTTGTGCTTTGAAGACTTCGTCTTATCCTCTTTCGTGTATGCTGTCATAACGGCTGATACCATACTCCTTGCACACCCCACAAGGTTTGCTGTTTCCGTAACTGATGCTTTACTTAAACGTGCTCCAACTGTCATTCCTCTTTGGAACTCTGACAGGTCTGAGATTTTAACTTCTCACAGACAGGTCGATCAAAGCATGCAATGCAGGTGACTGCTGTTGAGAGACTGATACCTTCCTCTTCACGTTCACTATGTGGCATACTTCTGTTGCAGGTGTGAAATACGTCATACTTTTTCACAGGCGTTTGCATTATTTTGTCCTCCATCTGTATATACTATATATAATTGAAATTTTAATTTGCTTTATATGAATGAGATTACAATATTATATTTATTAATATATATATGTGTGTGTAAGAAAGATAAAAAAGTATGTAAATATAAATTAGAATTTAAATTAGCAATAGCCCCTTTATGATTAATTTTAATTTGGTATTTCTCTCTATTCTAAAAATAATAATCTTTTTATGCACAGCGTCATTGCAAGACTAATTCATGTCATATGATACATACATAACGCTAATGATGTAAATACGGGGGACAAAAATTGTCACTTTTCAGATCATTCCTCGGATTTGGGGAAAATGTTTTTCCTTGTCACATTTTGCTTTACAGCTAGAATTATATAGACAAGGGGATGGTGGTCAGAAACTGTTGGACTATTCTGTCTTTGTTTTAGCACTTACATATATCCTTTAATACTTTTATACTTGTTTCATAGCCTTCTTTCTATTCTCATAAGTCATGTTTAACCGCTGTACCAATTTTAATCGGTAAATATGAAAAAAGAATAGTCATTATTACTGCCATGCCATGAAATAGTATTTTATTCTGTATATTAAAGGTTTAAATATACCCAGAGCCTGACTGAGCTATTTCTCAGATTTTGAGTAAAGTTGTGATTCCAGTTTAGTTCCAAATTAGACAAGGTTGGGTATTTTATTTAATTATTGATCATTCATTTAAAAATTTATTACGCTTTTATTTATCTATTTACATTTTACTGAATTATTAATTATAGCCCAAAACAGCTGTTAGTCTCGAAATACGAAATGTGAAACAATGCATGTTTCACTTTTCCTTCGCGTCTGTTGCCATTAGCAAAAATGTAAGCTATTTATTTTTAAAATTTTATCTGTCTGTTATTGGTCAACAAATTTATCTATTTAAAAACAATAAATGCAGTTCTTAAGAGTATTATTTTTTTACTTTCTAATCTGATGGATTTAAATATAAATACACTGAATTCACGATATATCTAACTAAAGGCATTAACTATTTTTACAGAATTAGCTTAGATATTTTTAACTATTCAAATATACAGAAGATATATATAATGTTTTCATGTTAGCCTAAGTATATTGTTACGAAAGAACATTTGAGGCAGCTCGTAACTGCTTTTTCTGCATTCCAAGAAAAGATGGAAGCTGATAAAGCATCCTTAAAAGAAGAGATTAAAGCGGGACAGGAATCCATTAAATAAACTATGGAAGCGGTTCACGAAAGTTGAAAGCGGGTCAAGAATCAGCTAGAGATGAAATGAAAGCGGTTCAATAAAAGATGGAAGTTCGTCAGGAAAAGACGGAAGAATCATTTAAAAAAGTGTTGAAAGCTGTTAAAGCAGAGATCGAAGCAGGTTAAGAGGAAATAAAAATGTTTAAAAGATTACAGCAGGCTACAATAAAAAGCCCACGGAAACACTCCAGGAGCTCGTGACGGATTTTGTAAGGCTGTCTCACCTCGCCTTTACGAAGTGCTCTAGAGAAATAACGGAAATACTGTCCCTGCAGTACTTCATCGATAGCATTCGGGATTCGGAAGTATAGAAAGCTCTACGAATGACGGATGTCAAGGACTTAAAAAGTGCTCTAGTGTACACCATGAAATTTGAGGCAGCCCAGCAAGCAACTCGCAGAGATCGCCACCCAGTCAGAGCTGCTTAAGTAGAAGAGCCAGTGGATAACTGACTGCTCGCCTAAATGATTCAACTAGACAAGTTAATTCCTTGAGGCGGAATAGGAGTGACATGAAACAAACAGTAAAGTGCTGGAATTGCGGTACTGAAGGCCACATACGAAGAAACTGCAGAACACTCTAGGGAACGGATGTCAAGACCTTGCTCAGGAAGCTGCCAATATTGTTCCAGAGTCGAAGCGAAATACGAGCTGCTGAGCCCGGTCGCAAGACAAATTACAACATCAACATCCCCTGATCAAGACCCATGAAGTGACCAACAAGTCAAGAAAATCCAGCTGGAAAATGGCGATATTAAACCCACAATTGATTTAATGGAGACCTCAAACAGAAAAACCTACCTGGCAGGACATTTCGAGCTATGTTCCTACAACAAAACAATATTGGGCACTCTGGGACTCGCTCCACATTCGAAACAGCGTTTTTTTACCAAAAATTCAAATCGAATAATGGGAAGACATTCCGATGGCAGCTGCTACTCTCAAGATCCCGGACGTCCTTAAAGAAGTACATAGCAGCCCTGCAGGAGGCCACTCCGGAATAATGAAGACCTTGCAGAGAGTTCGAGAGCGTTTTTATTGGAGTAAGGCAAAGGATGACGTGCAGAAGTGTTGCCGATCTTGCGATGCTTGTGCGGGTCGGAAAGGGCCGAAGAAACGCAGACTAGGCAAGCTGCACGTAGTATATATAGATCCATTTTACAGTACGAGGTAAAATAGATGCTTTAAAAAAAAAAAAAAAATCACTGTGGCAAACGTTGTTGGTAAAAGAAGATCTACAAATGTTTATAAATTTTAATGAATAGATGGCAAAGAAGGATCTCATTTTTTTTTTTTCCTTCATTACCAAAGGAAAGATCCTAGGCATTGAAATATGTGGATAATAGATCCATTTTCAGCAAACATTGAAGACAGCAAATTAAGCCTGAATGAAAATTAAAGCCTCACTGATTTATCTTGTGATGACACTTTAAAAACTAAATTTCATTCATCTTTATCAAGACCTTATTTTTGGCTCTCTGTAAAAAATGAATAACCATTACTGAGTGAAAATGCAATGAAAATTTTAATTCAGTTTTCAACAACATTTGTGCGAAAAGACAAATCTGCAACAGGAATTAAAACTCAGTACCGATACCGGCTTGAAATAAACGCCGCTCTCCGTCTTTCAGTGACGTCATTGGAACCCAAAATCTACAAATTGATTTCAAATAAACAGGAACAAATATCACACTAAAAATATGTAATTCTTAAATTTTTCATTTTTTAAAAATAATTACTCTATAACTATATAAAATAAAAGTTTGCTGATTATTTTTGTATGAATGCATTTACCTTTTTTTTTAAAAAATTCATATTAGTGGTCTGCCAAATATAAAATTATATATGTAGTGGTCCGTGAAGTTCTAAGGATTGACGACCGCTGAGCTAGAGCCATCAAATTTTGAATAACGTACGTCTCCACCCGAATATGGGCATCTGGAAACCCCATATTTGGAATTTGTTTTATTATCGATTTCATATTTTGAAACATTTTAACGAATTTTAGATTAAGAAACTCAACGATTTCAAAGCGAGCAATGGCAACACTGTACGAGGGGGGAAAAATAAAATAACTATCTCCAGCAGGCGAGACTGTGTTGGAAATTCTAAAGATATGCTTTTCTGAATATTTTGTGATATTGCCGTTGAATTAATTTTATTGCTTAATTGCGAAGAACACGATATTTAATAAATAAAGGTAACACACAAAACATTAAAAAAACGCCCCTTCGGGCGTAATTTAAAATCTGACACCTTTCAGACTTTTTTTTTTTAGGGGCTATTAATTTCATTTTGGCATTTTGCGTTGTTTCTGTATAAATGTCGGTTTAATTTTCAAATTGTTGCCACCAAATATTAGAGTCCTGTGTAATATTTAAATAAATTAAATAATGAAGAATCTGCATTAATGTGTGTATGTTTCTCGCATTGTGATAAAACGACGGTACCTCGAGCCATCAAATTTTGAATACCGGACGCTTCCACCTGAATATGGGCATCTGAATGCAAAATTTGGAATTTGTTTTATTATCTATTTCATATTTTGAAAAATTTAAGGAATTTTTGAGTAACAAACTGAATGATTCAAAGCGAACAATGGCAACACTGTAGGGGGGGGAGAAACAGGGAAAAAATATCTTCAGTGCGTGAGAAGAGGTTTTATATTTATTGCTTATAATATTTATATTATATATATATATTGTTGTTCCTCTTTCTTGATTGCCTTCCATAGGGCTCCGGCACTTCTAAGTCCTAAGCCCTGTTAGCAAAAGTATAATTCATAAAATGAATCTCTTATATCTAAAAGTTAAATCTAAATTTTACATATGCTATGTCACAATGTAAAGTATGAGTTTCTCGATTTGAATACAGTATTTATAGAGAGTTTTCTAAAGGCTTCTTTTTCAAAAACAGCTGCTTAAATAACCAATAACGTTATAGATGTAGACATAATATAAAGAAAGACTATCAAAATTAATGAAATCAAATGCAAATAAAACCAATATATTCCTATTTATCTCTGTGGATTATCAAATAAAATAAAGGTAACTAATACAGGTACAAAATGGCGGGACTACGATAATTCGATAACAATACCTGAATGATAACATTAACCACGATCGTGTTAAGGGGCGTGTAGTGTAACTGTAAATACCTTATTTTAAAATAACATTCTAATTCAAGAGTTTTAAACGAAATTTCTTTTCAGTAAGATTTTACGAGAGGCATAGTCCTGTTTATAAAATCTATAGAATAATTGTTTTATTTATCAAGAATAAGGATACCAGAATTTAAAACAATTTTACTTTTTGCTTGTTTTCTTCGCAGACATTTCAACAAATATGAGAGATAACAAATAAATCAGGCAGTTTGATAGCAATCATTATACGTCGTCAATTTACAACTGCATTGTTTCTAACCATGTCCTTATCTACGATAAAAGAATAATCATTTTTAAAGAAACAAGTTAAGCATATTAATTCGGAGATTTCAGTAAAAATGGAAGCATGTTTTTTGAATTCTTGGTTGCTCTCTGTATGCATATTTAATATTATTTACCCAGTGCATAGCGAGATTATTTCACTCAATAAACATCAGAAAATTTCTTTCAAAACTTACGATCATTTGGATAATTTTGATGAAGTGTTAACGTTAACACGCCTGGCACTGGATATGAAAGCAAACGTTGCGAACACCTTTAGTTTGGCTGACGTAAATGGACCTGATCGCGTTAATGATAATACAATAAGTTATACAGTGGAAAACTATTCATCTTCTAAGAATAGTTCTTGTTACCTTGACCTAACATACGCACAGGATAACCTTTTAGATTTTAACAATCCTTGGGCTATGAAGAGTAAGTAATTTCACTTTTTATTTAAAATATTGCTAATTTAATTAATTAATTGAAGATTACATAAAAATTAAAATCTATTTAATTTCTAAAAGAATCTATTACATTTTCCCCCAAAAGTGTTAACCAATTCACAAAGAAATATTCTCATAAGGAAAAGTATAAAGTTTTAACCCAAAAGGACAATTGGCAAAGAAAGGTTATTAATTTCGTTTTGGCATTTTGCGTCGTCCACTATAAACGGCGTTTCACTTTTCAAACTGTTGCCACCAAATATTACAACTCTGCATAATATTTAAAGAAATTAAAAAATGAAGAATCTGCATGAATGCATGTAATTTTATCGCATTGCGAGCAAACAACGGGTTGCCCACCAGCGGCCGAGCGGTAAAGACGCTGAACACTGGCAGTTCGGTCTGAGGTTCGAATCCCGCGAACGGGCTGGCTGCATGGGCGTTTTCGTGGTTTTCCCCATGTGTAACGTGTATACGAGCCAGTTTCCCTTAGAAAGTCCTCCACGAAAGGCATCCCTCCCTTTAGGCAGATAGCCCTCGTGCACTTTGCCATGATTAAATACACCAACACCAACACCAACGAGCAAACAACGGTACCTAGAGACATCAAATTTTGAATAACGCAGTCCTCCGCTAGAATATGGCTATCTAGAAGTCCAAATTTGGAATTTGTTTATTATCTATTTCATATTTTGTAAAACGTTAACGAAATTTTGATTACTCGAATTTGGGCATCTGGAAACCCAAATTTGGAATTTGTATTGTTACCTATTTCATATTTTGTAAAATTCTAACGAATTTTTGATTAACAAGCTCAGCGATTTCAAAGCGAGCAGTGCCAACACTTCAGGCAAAAAAAAAAAAAAAAAAAAAAACTTTTTTTTTCTCCAGCGCGCGAAACTATGTATCGGAAATTCTAAAGATATGCTCTTTAGAATTACCGAGGATTGAGAAGAGATATATTGAATTCGGAGTAAAAATATCTGAAATTTGACATTGTGTTCCATTTATTATCATATAACTTTGTTTTAAAGTCAAAGAAATATAACGAAAAATTATCTGATCATAAATAACTCGTAAGTTTTGGAGGAAAAAATATATCTGTTGATCCCTTTCAATAAGTTATATAAATTCATATGCTTTGTAAAGCATTTCGAGAATGCATAGGAAAACAACTAGTGAACGTGGGAGGTTCTACTAGAAATGAAAATGTCTGACTAGATTTCATGATTAAAGATACAAGTAAATTTCAAGGGCAATTGTTATGCGCCTCATATGCGTTTGATCGAATGACGCAAATAATTCCTTGGCACAGTCCTTTAGGTAAAAGCGACATCTTCATTTCGTCGGAAAATTGGAATCATAACGGATATGTACTTGATGTTATATGAGAATATTATAAGAGCTTTTCAATACATTTTAGCGTTTATGTAATTATGGTGTATTGAGAATACGGCAAAGCACACTAGGGCTATCTGCCTAAGGGAAGGGATGCCTTCGTGGAAGACTTTCTAAGGCTCGTATACACGTTACACATGATGAAAACCACGAAAACGCCCATGCAGCCCGCCCTTCGCGGGATTCGAACCACGGACCGAACTACCAGTGCTCAGCAGTTTTATCGCTCGACCGCTGGTGGGCCCATGTAATTATGGAAAACAAGTAAATCAGTGATGCTTGTGACTAAAAGTTAGTTAATGCCGTCCAAAAACCAACTTCCAAGTCATTGCATTAAATGCTGTCTGTTATGGGCTCTTGAATATATTTGCTTCTTTCAGATCCTTATGTTCTTTCCTGATTTTGAATAATATTTTAGAATTTAGTAAAAACAACTTCAACTCAGCTCTTACCTAGCAGCAGCTATTATAAGATTCTTTCTTAATCTTCAAAGATCTTAGTAAAGTAGGACATCTTAAAATAAAATTTTAAAGAAAATTCTCTTTACTGTGTCCAGGAATCGAACATAGGATCTTTGGTGTGCCGGACTGATAAGCTAACCATTGCAGAATAAGAACACGCGAGAGGACTGCCTTAACCATTACTGGAGTTACCACTACTGAGATGAGGGGGGTGGGGTCCGAAGACTTCCAATTGTTTAATTCTAGTTCGGTAGCGAATTATCAGTCACCCTTCCCTTTTAGTTCAGATATTAAATATTAAAAATTGGAGAAGCTTATGAGGTATTTTATATTAATTTACTAGCTATTACCATTTAAAACTTTTACTATAGTTTCTCCTTTCCGTAGTCCTCACGAGATGGCAAATTAGGCTGTAGAGTATATAAATACTATAGGGTTTTTAAATATTTTCGAGTTAAAGCTTTAGGCAATTTACGTTTGATCGCTCATCTTTGCCACTAAGTACCCCGGTTTCAGGCATTTCGCCCGCCGACATTAAAGCGCGCCATTAAATACTCAGCTAACTTTAAATGGGTCAGCTTGTGTTGTCTCTGATTACGATACTTGAATTTGAAATTCAACTTATGCTATCTTAAGTATCCGAAAGTGATGGAGATTACTTATACGCGCATATAATGCCTTCTGTTTAATTTAAAGCTTTAATAAGGTTATTTAATCCTTCTCAGGACTTGATCATATTAATTCAGATGAAGCGGTAATTCGCTTTTCAGTCTAGTAGGGTCTGCAGGAGATTGATTTAATATTTTACAGGTAGAATCCTACAAGCTTAAGATTTTGGGGGGGGGGGATTTTATGTGATTACGAAAAAGCCTCGAGGACTATCTCCCTAAGGTAAGGGATGCCTTCAAGGAGGACTTTATAAGGGAAATTGACTAGTTTACACGTTACACATGATGAAAACCACGAAAACGCCCATGCAGCCAGCCCGTTTGCGGGATTCGAACCTCGGACCGAACTACCAGTGCTAAGCGACTCTACCACTCAGCCGCTGGTGAGCCGCTTAAGAAAATTTAAAAAAAAAAAAAAAAAAAAAAAAAAAAGAATATAATGGTCTAAAGAATATAATGGCCGCTCTAAAAAATACCTAAAGAATATAATTGCCTGGAAAGTGAACAAGAGATTTTCGATATACCATACTGCAGACAAAATCACACACATCATCACACAGATAAAATGGGAGTAATAGCTCAACTTCTTTTTTATCTAGTTTCACAGTATATTAGGTATACCGTCTGTTATGAAGCTGAATTCGTAAGTTGACACTATACGACTCAGTTCAATCAAAACAAATTTATATGAAACAAATTCATAATTCTAGTTCTTAATTTATTTAATTGACTGCTCGGAAAAGTGTATTCTTAGGTAGGAAGTAAAAATATATTAGAAATTTATTTTTCATTCAAAAGAAATGAAGAACTGAATACAAATGTCTGCAAAAATTTTACGTCAGGCATATACTTTTATTTTAAAATTAATATTTTTTCCCAGGTCTGATTACAGTAACTATAATCAGCATAGAAAAATCTTCATTAAAATTTGATAGAAGTATGGACGTCTATACATTTGATATATTATACTTCGCTAGCAAGTTACTAATTAGTACTTACTTAACGAAATCATTTAAAACTAGATCTGCATTTCTTTTGTATGTTACTGTTCTTTGCTAGGTCCCTGAACCAACTCATATGAAGAAGAAAACGCTGTTTTCAAGATATTATGCTGGAGTCTTGAGAACTTATTTTTGTATTAATAGGCAATGTCTCGGGCAATGTCATTAAAATTTTACAAAGTGAAAAATTAATTCTATAAATAGCGTTTTCATAAAATCCATTTAATCCGAATAATTTCGAATATACCAATACATGACTATTGCTAACTCAATGTTTGAAACTTTTTGTTTATTTAGGCACAACATTCGATTTTGTCTGCATTACCAAATACAGACCGAATCCAAACATATCATATTTTCGAAATTAATTTTTTATTCGAAATTTATTCTGCAATACTTTTATATACACTAATATGTAAAACATAAGCACGGATGAAATGTTGAAATAGACAGCCATGAAACTCGAGAAAAGGGTTTATAGTGATTAGCAGGAGGAACACCCATTTCGTTAGAAATGTGATAACTTAGATGATCAGGGCCGTCTTAACGCATTCTGGGCCCGATGGGCACTTGCCCGGGGTCCCCATGAGCATAGGAACCCATGCTAATCTGTGTATGTTGACTTGTGTTATATATTTGTATTTATATATATTTGTATATTTGTATTAAATATATTTGTCGTAGGGGTCCTAACACACTGGTTCTACCCAAGGTCCCATAATGCTATTATGACGTAACTGTATAGGTGATCATGTCATATAATATAGGCGACCCAGGACTTCTGTCTGATCCTGTGTATAGTTTAATGAAAAAGAGGTTTTGCATGCAACACTAAGAATTTGTATGCAAATAACGAAAACAAAATGCAGATCACGCTGGAGCAGATATATGCTTTCAGTAGGGGCACGTAAACATATTTGAAAGAAACCATCTAGATAGCTTCACACGTGAAATAATCTAATAATAATAATAATCGGAATCTTGAGGAGGGACACTGTAAGACCAATGTAGCTCAAGAACTTTGTATCAACTACAGTGTCTTTACACGTGCTTGGAATAGTCTTTCAAAACACCGGTACAGCTACGGGAAAAGTTTGTGGTGGTCTGCCAAGAAAAAGGTCTGTGGATGCAGTGATATTTATTGCTCTGGCAGGCGAAAAGAGACTGATGCCAGTCAGCTAGCAATATTGTTTAGCAGCTGCATACCGCTACAGGACATAAAATGCCGCAGTTTATCGCAACCATACGCCTTCATAAAAGTAACGTGGTTGATTATCGTTCTGAATGTTGCATTAACATCGGCGCTTAGACTGGTCCCAAAAGCCCAAAGACCAGATGCATCATCGGTGGAGTCACAAACGATTCTGATATCGAGAGAAGGGACACGTTTTCATACCATTAATGTCAGGAAAAGATGCTGTGTTATCTGGAGAGGCATTATGCTGAATGGCCCCAATGGCTTCTATATTTTAATGGATATGCTGCGACTGGAGATCGCTGTTGTCAAAAAGCAACCCTTCCCTCACGTGTGTCTTTTCCGTTGTACGTTGTACGTTTGCAGTCCCGTTGTACGTTTGTAGTCCCGTTGTACGTTTGTAGTCCCGTTGTACGTTTCAGTGAATAATATCGTCAAAAAACATCAGATTCAGGTTGTGGAGGAACTGATAGAATGTGAGTATATCACTCGAATGGGCTGGCAAACGTATTCTATTGACTTACATTCTGTATAATATGCGAGAGATGCTTCGGGGAGACGTTTTTCTGCACGACAATTTCCACTGGCGAACGCCAAGCAACTGAAGCAGATGCTTGCTGAAGAATGGGAATTCTTACCTCAAGAACTGTTTGAGTGTCTTATGCTGAGTACAATAGGTTTCTGCCACACAACTATTGCAATTAAGGAATATCATATTCTTTACTAAGGACAATCAATTTTATCGAAGCCACTCTTTCCATAATGCTATTTTTGAAAAATTCATTTCTATATGCATGTTATTAAATAGTTTTTTTTCCATTAGATAGTTTTCTTCCATTCTTTAAATATAAAGTACTGCGTCTTTGTTCTGATTTTTATATCTCCCAGGTGGTTTCTTGGGGAGTTATAGCGAAAAAACTTAACTGTGTTTTAAGCTTTGCACATTAGTGTAATATCAATTGAATTCCTTTTTTAAGTATCCATTAATTTTGTTGCTTTAAACATATTTTTTTTTTGTTTCTGTTTTATATTTTATTTCTATTTTTTAAGTGTTTGATTCCTATGGGAAGTTAGACAGCGGAATTTTGGAAGGCAATGTAAAATGGGCCGGAGACTATTATGAATGTCTGAATGTTTATGCGCCTCCGCAAGTTAATGGTACAGCTGGAAATTTCCGAGGGAGATATTGTTCCCTTCAGTGGGATATTCAGCTCAAAAATTTTGTAAGATATACTGAATATTTCCTTATGTTATATTTAAGAAATAGTTTAACGTATAGCTTTATAAGCTTTTTTTTTCAGTCTTTATCAGTGACATCTGGTGTATGTATTCCTGATACATGTAGTTCTTCACTTCTGAAAAATGACACTAAAACTCTTTTACGAACAGCTGGTAAGAATTCTTTCATTACTTCAATTTTATTTAAATAATTAAAATTAATCAAATACAATTAAATATGCTGATATAAAATAAGCTTTTACTTAAAATAGATAAGATAATTAGTGCACTGGAAGACAAAAAATAATTTATCATATAGTTTATTGGGATGAATAGATTAAATAATTCTATTTGCAGAATTTATTTACAATTCTATATCGCGAATAATAAAAGCGTAGGGTGTCCATGATAAATTAAAAAAAGTTAATGGCTTATGTAATTGACACTGTAATTAAATTAATAGAAAATTAAAAAAGTTAGTGCCTTTTAAATTTGACAACGCAAGTAAATTAATAAAAAATTTAAAAAGGTAATGGCCTAAACATTTAATGATACAATACAGGCACCCTATTTTATTATTCGCAATATAAAATTGTAGATGAATTCTGTAAATAGAATTATTGAATCTATTATTCCCATTAATCTATATGATCAATTATTCTTCGCCTTTTATTGCATTAATTATCATACACATTTTAAATAAAAGCTTACTGTATAAAAACCTTTCTTTTAATTGTATTTTATTTTCTGACTTTTGGTCTCAATTACACGTTGTCAATGGAGAAATTTTAGCCATTATTAAAATACAAGTGGTATATTGTAAGAAAACTATGAAATAATGAAAACTGAATTGAACTGAAAAACAACTATACGTCATTTAGAGAATGAAGGAATTGCTTTGAACATTCAGTTTCGGAAATTGGACTTAATAGCAATGTTACAACAAGCATTTATGCTAATATGAAAAAGAATAACGCCAGCTTATCATCAAGTGCTTCAAGATGGCAAACTCAAAAGCAATTTTTCCCCGACAAACTCTTTTTTATTTTTAAATCGTCTGTTTCAGACTGTAGTACATTTCTTAAAATACCTGATGTGGACACCATATGACTTCCTTGCACGGCCTATTGAATTATATACCCATTTTCTACTGCACTTCATTTAAACTTATTTCCTAGAGTTTCTTTCGTGATATACCCTGCTCTCCGAAAGTTAAGGAACAGCAAGTTTTTTGTGTCTAATTTAAGAATGAAGCAACATAAAAACAAGAAATTTACAGGACAAGTTCACTAAACAGTTCTTTAATGAATGCGATATAGAACGTTTCTAAAGTTCAACACAAACATGAATTACAACCAAAAATTGCACTCTTGGCAGAGAAATCCAGTCTTGGGGAAATAGTATATCACAGTTTTTTGAGGATAAATGGAGTGTTAACATTACAAAAATGGATTCTAATAAGAAATGTGTCCAACCTTAGCTGCAATACATTGGCGGCAGCGACATTTCATGCTGTCAATTAAGTTGTCGGTCAGTGAAATGGGAAGAAAAGACCAGATACGGAGTAATCCTTGTTCAAACTTATCTAACGACCTTGGAGGAGGACTTAAAGCAGCAACCTGTCTCCCAAGGTAGTCCCAAAGATGCTTTATCGGATTCAGGTCTGGGGATTCAGCTGGCCATTCCATCAGCTCCATACCGTGACCCTCAAGATATTCTTCAGTAATCCGAGCTCGGTGCAGTCGCGCATTGTAGTCCATCAAAAGAAATCCGGGATCAATACCAGCGGCATGGGGACGGATATATTGATCAAGGATCTCGTCTCGATATTTCACACCGGTCAAAGTTCCTCCATGGAGCACATGCAGGTCAGTGTGACCAACGAGACAGATCCCAGACCAAACCATAATTCCACCACTTCTGTAACTTTATCTTTCCACAATGTGGGATTGGTTGTATCTGATGCGCTGTTCCCTCCAGATCAGCTGACGACCTGACTCACTCTGAACCTGGTCTCATCTGTGAACAGAACAGAGGCCTACTGTTGACTGGTCCAGGAGATGTGTTCTCTTGCCGAACATAAACGGGTACCTCTTTGTCCTCAATTCAAGGGGATACGAACAACTGGTCTTCTTGCATACAAACCTGTGTTGTGCAGGCGTTTGCGCACTGTAGTAGCTGAGATTCTTGTTTCTTTTGCCATTGAATGATCAACCAGGAGCTGAGACACAGTAATTTTACTCCTCCTTCGGGCCGAAAGAGCTAAATAACGGTCTCCCGCAGTTTTTGTAACTCTAAGTATGCCTGAAACATGTCTTTTAGACACAGAATCCTCTGATTCAAACTGATTCCATCGTCAGTAGACCACACTATGAGAGACACTGAGGCGTTTAGCAGCATCAGCTTGTGACATCCCCATTTCCATCCATCCGTTCTCCCGCCACCTCAACGAATCAAGCAAACGATTTCTTCTGGACGTTTTTGCATATATTGTTTTTTTATTTCGTTACTGTCATGCATATGAACTGTGAATTTAAACATTACTGACATTTTTTTAATGGTGTGCTTTGAAAAACATACTGTTTTTTAACTTTCGGAGGGCAGTGTATTTCTCATTCAATCAGTTCAGTTCTGACTTCGCAGCAAAGCAAAAATACATACAAATTCAAAACATCTTCATTAAAAATTGTAAAATACAGAAAAATCTAAAACACCAAATGCATTGAAAAACAGCTAAAGAAAAACAGTTTTTACAATTAAAATTAGAGTTTCTGCACCAAAACAAGCAATTCAGCCTGTGGGCAGGAAGACAAACTCTTCGGTGCACAAACATTTAAAATTAACTTGTTGTTAAACTGTCCCACTGGGCAATTGACAATTGACAATTGAGAGCAGGATCCGGACACACGGCCGGCTTACACAAACTGACAATTCCGCAACTGTCCAAAACAACTCATTAAAACAGAAAGGTTGAATATTGCCATAAAAGGGCTCTCATTGGGCAAAGAGATACCGAATTTGGCTCGCAACTGACTTAATTCACTGTACTATTAAGGGCTTCAAATGTAAATAAATAGACGCAACAATAGGCCTAGCGACACTTAAACGTTTAAACTGTTGATAATTCTAAAACATGCAGATTAACTAAAGGGGGGAAAAAACATTAGCCAGGACATAAGAACAGCAACGAAAAAGAGAGGTGCGCAACTAGAAGCTATAAGCAGTCCCGTACAAAACGTTTCAGCAGTCTATGGCTACTTGTTTTTTGAGTTATGCGAAATACAACATACTTACATATAGACGTCACGAAAAAATTCCCTGTTGAATCCATTTTAAATTCATTTTACAATCCGTTTTGAGAAAAACAGCCTTTAATTTTGTCCATATGTGCGGGCGTGACGCAAAAAAATTGTCCAAACGGATTTGGGAAATATCAAAATGGATTCGGGAAAGGTTGAAATTTTTCGCGGCTACATTACTTCCTTTATTTAGTACAAGGATATAAAAATTGTAGATAATGATTCAATCAATATTTTTCTGGCCATTCTTGTTTTAAAATGAGGGCGAAAACTTTGTCTTAGAGTCTGTGAAAATTTTTAAACTTTATATCCGATGTATTTTTCGACGTTGAAATTTTAAATCATAAATATCAAAGAGTCTAAAATACCGTACAATTTTAAAAAAATTCACCGAAAATTCAGAAATTAAATCAAAATTTTTATATAAATTCCATTAAAGAGACTTTTTTCGCTCTGTTCCATAGTACAAGCAGTAAAACTCATGTGATTAGTTTGTTTTTTAAACGAAGATACGAATGAAAAACCAGTTAAATATTAAATGAAAAAGATCTAAATATAATTTTGAAAAGGAAAAAAAATCGCTTTATCATATTGAATTATTATCGACAGACAGTGTATGTACAGAATTTTAACTGGATAACTTCTCAGGAATTAGGTAAAAAATCGATGAAAAAATTCCACTCACAGTCAGTGACTTAAGTAAACACTTATAAAATGTATCAAACACTTTAGTAATCTAAATTATTTCTTTCACCTCTTATCAAATTGATTCCATTAAAAAATTTTCAAATAAATTTGTAAAATATATTTTGAAATTAATGATATCTTAAGCACAGTTTGGATGAAAATTTTTTTAAGATCTAAGAATATAAATTTCTCTAATTGAAAAGATTTTCAACAGTTAATGTCACTAGTTGTCTAGCAGCAGTTGTGCGAGTAGGTAGAGTAAGTTCGTAGACGCGTCAGAGCGATTGAAATGGCAAGACGTTTACAGTCAGTCTATCATAAGAAAACCTCTCACCAATTAGTCTGCAGCTGTCTGTTGCTGTAGAAATGAGCCTTGACCCATTGTCCGTAGGGGTATCCTTGAAGATGAATGATAAAATGTTTTCCCCTCAGCCAACAGCATGGAGGTAGGAAGTAAGATGGAGTCGCCCTAAACGTTTCTCCGTACCCTGCTCTGAAGCACCGGCGATCCCTACGTGGTGACCAAAATATTGGGTCATTTACCATTGAGTTTTATGGGATTTGATGCGTTCGGGTGTAAATATTTTGTAATTACGTCGCAAATATACATATAAATGTATATATTTTCTTTTTCTACAACACTTCAGAGTCCTAAGTATGTGAAAACAACATATTTTTAAACAACATTTCATTCTGAACGGAATTAAATGCTATACTTTTCACAGGACAGTTTTCTCAGAATGGTTTAATTTGAATGAAATATTTTCACAAGTTTTCGTTAATTACATTAGAAAAAAAAATTAAGGTAATTCGATTTTATTTGGTTAAAGTACAAAAATTAAGATCAAAGTTTATTGTATTATTAATATTAAAATTATGCATTATTTTCTTTTCTATTTATAGAGCTTCTTCCTAAAATACTTTCTTAAATATGACATGATTTTTTTTTTTGGCTTCTTTTAAATCGAAAAATGTAAGTCAATTTATAATTAATGCTCTATTCGGTTCATTTTAAAATTAGAGAATTATTAGGAAAATAGTATTTGACTTTCTCTGAACATTTCTGAAAGGGAATAAAATAAGTTTTTTTTTTTTTTTTTTTTTTTTTTTTTTTAAGTATTATTTAAAAACTTGTAACTGAGTTATTATAACATGTAAAGGGAATAATTCTTTTAATTATACTTATCA